ACAAATAAGTTCTTGGATATTCAAAAACCTGTTAAATAACTTATTGGACTTTCTAAAACATGTTAGATACGTTCTTATAACCAATAAAACTGGTTAATGTGGTAAAATAATGAAAAAAAGTTTGAAAAACCCCAATGAACTTTCATATTTTGAACGATTAATTTCTTAAACATTTTTTGAACAAAAAAAAATACTTACATCTATAAAATAAAACAAATATAACAAAAAAAATACTTACATTTAAAAAAGATTATTGATTAAATTTATTTTAATTAAAATAAAAAAATATTATGTCAGTGATTTTTCAAATGATAGAAATGATTTAAAAAGGATNTAAAATTAAAACATAATAAATATTAAATTAACAATTATGCGGATTAAAACCTTCTTTTGATACATAAATTAAAAATTATTTGTTAAAGTATTTTTTATATTATCTATACTATCTTATAAAGTATTTGGCTAAAACTTTTAAAAACTCTTAAAACTCTGAAAAATTCTTAAAAACTCTTAAACTCATTCATCCTTAAACGATTTCATCCAATATCTGAATTCATTGTTGGAAAAAGTTTTTAATTTATCACAGTTGAAGTCTAGTTATGGTAATGGGGAGGGGACTCCAATCCCATCCCCGTCCCCATTCCTACCAGAGAATTTGATCACATCCTCATCCCCGTCCCCAAAAGGGAAATGAGGATTTTTTTTCTCGTTTGTGTAAGTTTTTCTTAAATCAAATGTGTGAGACGCTATACATATTTAAATCTCACATTTTTCAAATAAACCTAAAAATCGAAATAAATTTAATTTAATACAAAAATATACATCATCATATAATAAATAATAAATCGAAAACCAAAAGAAATTAAATTTAATCTAAAAAAATTAACGTCGCATGTACCAAGACATATCGAGTAATATTTAAAACCACATCTAGTAATATCCAAAATATATTAGAATAGGAATTACCATTTATCGACTTAATAGAAATAAATAATACATAGTATAATTTATTAGTTAATACATATACGGATACAGGAGTGCGATACCCGTCCCTGTCCCCATCTCCGGTTTGAGCCAAATGGGGATCCCCGTCCTCCTTCCTGAGGCCCGGTTTAACGGGGAACCCCCGTCCCCGACAGGTGCGGATGGATTGGGTTCCCCGATGGATCGGAGCCAATTCCTATATCTATTGAAGTATAATGCTTAAATCAAAGGGTTCCTTACGAAAATAACTGTCCACAATTATCAATTTATACTTTTAATCTTATTTTTAAAAAAATTCATAAAATAACCATGAGTTACCCTCTTAGCACCGTTTGATGTTTATAGGTGGCCTTTTTACAATTAATGCAAGTCCTTAAAAAAATTAAGGAAATAAATATTTTTAAAGAAAGTTAAAAATAAATTTATATTAAAAAAAAATAAAAAAAATTATCATGTGGGACCCACCCTATATATATATATATATATATATATTTTAAAATAAAAAATTAGAACTTTCATTAATTACTAAAGGGTCCTTGTAAATACATCAAACGGTGCTAAGAGAGTAACCCATGATTATTTTGTGAAATGTTTTAAAAATAGGACTAAAAGTGTAAATTAATAATTATAGGTTTATTTTCGTAACGAACCCTTAAATCCAACTATATATAGCACATTAGGTCAATCGTGACAAGTGGGATATCATTATGAGGACGTGGATAAGGAGATTCCGTAGTTAGTACGGTAGAATTATTGTAGACGTATGTCAACAAAATTAATATTTAAAATTAAGGTCACAGATGGTGGATGATCCAGAGTTAAAAAATACAACTTTACACAAAAAAAACTTTTGATTTAATTTATATTTTTTTAATTTTACATATTTATTATATTAATATAGAGAATCATATATTAACTATAATATACAAAATAAAATATATTTTTAATTTTACAAATTACACCATTATAATAGTCTTGTCAATACATTCAAAAAAAGTCCAATATTGAATATTATTGTATTTAATATTATATTACTAATTATTACTTACCAATTATTTTAATACTTACATTTTCTATCCTTATGTTTATTTATTTAATTTGTAAGCCATTGTTATGGCACGACTTCGTCAGTTTCTTTTCTCGTTTCGAGTCGGAGTTTGAGGCATCTTTATAGGGGTTCTTTAGAAAGTTATAATGGAAGACCTTCGGAGTGTTTACGGTGGGTTAACGCCTTCCCTAATTTGGCCAATTCAGGCGTTTGGTTTAAGCTTTCTAGCCGTTAGACTTAGGGTGGAGTGCAGAACATCAAGTAAGTTGTCTTATACTGATTTTGATAACTTGTGATCATTTCTAAATGCTTTTTGTGATGAGCGGTTTAAGTGTTTTGAAAAGTTTGGGTGATTTTTGTTGAGTGGGGAAAATTGAAGGGTGTGTTTAAAAATTTGTTTAAATTAACTGACTAGTTTGTGGTAACCGTGAGATCCAATCTCAACCATAAATCAACTATAACTTAGGAAAATTATAATTTTGGTAATTTTGAATTAAAATTTTAATGCAAAGACATTTTAGGTATTTTCTCTCCTCTCTCCTCTCTCCGTCCTCCGGCCACAGTCCTCCGGTGGTACCTAAAAATATTGACTCTGTTAAACAAAAGACACAGTGTGATACCCAATCATATATATAAGATGCATTGTGATACCACTGTGTTACATCTCCGATCGAACACACAAATGACCTCAGTGTGATACCTAAACACATATATGATGCATTGTGATACCATTGTGGTATCACCGGAGGTCGGGGGACGGAGAGAGAAGAGAGGAGAGTGAATTCTCCTTTGCTTATGTTTGTGTAGTACTCCTTTGGCTTATGTTTTGATGCATCTCTTTGCTTTTGATTTTATATACTTCTCTTTTTGTTTTGATTCTTCTAAATGATAGGTGCAGGGGAGCATGAGTGAATGTGCAAGTACTGGTGGCAGTTTAATTGTGTTCCTATATATATATAATACTAATATAGTTTGCTGCTAGATTTGGTTCTTTTCTTTAATTATATACAGAAGATACATAAGGAATGAATTCTTTTATTGAGAAATTTAATTTGGTGATAATATGATTTTTGGGCTATGCATGAGGTCTGTTTGGGAGTGGGAAGACTAAGAATCTTAATCTAAGTAGTGTGTTTGTTTTCAAAAAAGGTTTGGTGAAAATGGTCATATAATACATGTTAAATTACAGGCTCAATTGGTGATTTAGAGGCGGCTAATAAAAATTTATATTTTTACATATGGATGATTGGATTTAAAAAAACTTAATAATTTTCATATTAAAAAATCTAATATATGAAACATTTTTTATATTACATTTTATTAATTAATTAATAAATTATGTTTCTTATACTACAAATTAACGTGTTTCTAGAAAAAAAAAAAAAAAAGAGACCAATTAAGCATGCTCGAGCTTGTCGTACATGCACAAGCTCCATTTGAAAGATGAGATTTTTATTTTATTAAATGAATATTTAAAGCTTTTTACGTTGAAAAATCTTTTGTGGTTGAATTTTTTTTTATTAAATGAATATTTTATCTGATTTTGGTTATATTTGTCGTTCTAAATTTGTTAATTTTGGTTTATGTTTGATCAATTTCTATAAATTATATGTACGATCTTTTTTATTAAATGAATATTTGTTATTTTTTATTATATGTACGATCTTTTTTATTTTTCGCCGGTTTCTTTTTTTAGTCCAATGGATCTCACCCATTTATGTGTTTACATGTCCTTTAAGAAATGGTTTGGAAATGGGTTTATTACCTTTGTGTTTAGTGATTGTGGCTTTGTATTACTTTTGTATTTCCTTTGGTCCATTGGAAATCAGTTTTTTGCTACTGTGTTTTGGTCTGCGAATACACATACTTTGGTCCACTTCTTTCTTGCTATTGTATTTTGGTGTTCTATTGATTTTAAACACTTTGGTCTACTGGTTTCTTAATACTAGGTTTTGTATTTTTGTTATCTACTGATTTACACATTTTGGTTCTATGAGTTATGTTTACTGGTTAATAGAAAATGTAATTGATTTTATTCTATGAATTGATCAAATGTAATTGCTTAATAGAGAATGAATTGTTTGTTGTTAATTTTGGTTCCATGAGTTATGTTGTTTGTTGTTCATTTTGGTTCTACGAGTTATGTTTATTGATTTTGTTTCAATTGCGACGCTTTTGGTTACTGATTTATGCTTATTTTGGTTTTACAAACAGTAGGATATTCCATGATTAATGTTGATTTTGGTTTCACCAAACAGTAGGATATTCCATGATTAATGTTGATTTTGATGCTTTATGTGGATACTTTATGACATTGTTTCTTTATGAATAGTAATAGATTTTATGAAACTTTTGTGTTATTGTTTCTTTGACCGTTTCTTTATGATAGTTCATTTGTCCAACTACCAATGAAAAATCACTACGACTACCTTAAAGAAAAATATACATATTGGTCTAAATTGAAAAACAAAGTTTGTTTGGAATAATATGAAATATGTAGTTATATGTGCAAAGTAATTGCTTTATTCATATATATGTCAAACAACTATATTTCAATAAGTACTAAATCATACAGATGATTAAAATGATCATTTGTTATCATTCAGAGAACAGTTACCAAACAACCCTATTTCATTCAACACTTAACCATTTAACAACAGTTAAATAAAAATAAGATTGATTATAAAAAAAAATGTGAGATTGATTAAAATTCTTTAGAAATAGATTTGCAAAGAATAATTGAATAATAAGAAAAAAAAATAGTTTAAATATTTAGATTTTGGGATGAAAACTTTGATTTTGTCCTTTTAACACCAATAATTTATAACTTTGATTAGGATATATACAAATGCTATGTAAACCCTAATTCTATAAACCCCCTTCTTTTAATTTTAAAATATTACCAGAGGCCTATATAAACCCGTCCTCCTCTTATATGCAATTGACACACGCTTCATCTGAGTTTACATTGCTACAAAAATGGCCGCCGGCGATATCCCCATCTCCGACTCCAACCAAAGGTCAGTAGCTTTTATATATATATATATATATATAAGTGTTTATATATGGTTTGTGTTCATAATTGACACAAGTGTTTATATATGTTTAATTCGTGTTAACATTTGAATTAACCGTGGGCGCACGCAAGCTCGCTCTCTCTCTCTCTCTCTCTATAATATCTTGTACAAATTTTTTACAGGATCTTGAATCACTATCCTGTATACCTCAATTTCATGGCTGTACTTTTCGCATTAGTTATTCAGATGCGGACTTTGAGCCCAAGAGCAATGAACCAACTACGAGTTGCTGTCATAGTTTTTACAGTAAATGTTGCTGCGAGTTTGGGCGTACAACAAACATCAAATGGGTCCATCCGTTGTTGTTCGAGGGCTCATCGACGCTTGTGTGTTTTTAGGACAATATTTTACGTCACCATGCTAGTAACTCCGGTGATACTGCTCTTTATTTTTGTTGTAGAGCCGAGCCCTTGGCATCCGATACTGGAATATTTTCATAGCATTTGGTCAAATATTAAGAATCTCGTGTTTGGTGAAACCGCAGTAGCTACGGCCTTGCCTCCGCCTGAGATCGAGGATTCCGTTTACCGGAGAATCTCCGTTGGTGTCTATAATTTCTTGGGCAGGCCAACAGATCCAATTCTTCCGGTGAGTATGCCTCCTCCGACAACAGCCAGCCGGTGGAGTTCAGTTACATCTTCCGGCCGTCGCTTTCTTGACCTCAAGGTCAGCTCAATGATTCAACTCCTTTTCCTTTGAGTGGTTATTTTGGTTATTACGATATGAATATACATCATCAACAAGAGAAATATGCATGAATAAGCCGTGAGATTGGTGAATTTTATCCGAAAGGTCCGTCCTCTTATTTGATTTCATTTTCTTATCTTAATTATATATAAAACACACACACACACACTAACCTAAACCTTCCCCTTACTAACCTGTGACGATTGCATTTACACACGGAGATGGAGGTTTACGATGGTGAGTGGTTGCAGGTGGGTGGTCTGGTGGCGGTGGATATTGCCAGAAAAGATTATATATATATAGCCAGTGGCACTGGAATTCTTCAGTGAAAGGAAAGGGATGGGTGGATGTTCACGGGACACAGACATAATATATGTAGGATACATTTCAAATACAAACTATGTTTATTTATACAAGTAATGTAATTAATTTAATTGAGATATTTATGAAAATAATAAAAGTTTATTTATTATCATTGAAATATTTATGGAAGAAGATGATTAGAGTTCATTAATTATTATTAATATTTTATATTAAAAAACAATTAAATGGACGGTTGAGATTGAGTTGTATTGATTGTACAAATGTAAAATGTTGCATAATAACTCACCTATATATATACTAGAACGGTACTCGTACAATACAACGAAATATATTTCGATTTAAATATTTTATTTTATTCTGTCTATGTAGATGTTATAATATAAGTTATATGATTTTTTTTGAATAAATTATAAATTTAAATATATTATAAAATTTTGAAAATAAATATATCGATATTAATATCAAATTAACTTTTTAAA